GCTCAAAGTTACTCTCAAGTGTTAAAAAACTTCCAAGAGAGTAGTAGGAGTGTGAGAATTGTGAGAATGTGTGTAATGAGGCGGGGCGAGGTCCTATTTATAGGAATTCGTGTCAGTCAGGCCAAGATGGCCGTCTGGACCCTTGTCAGGTGAGACAGGTGTCACGGCGCACGGTCAAGGATGGATTCTACCTAGTTGATCCTGCCAGTAGTCATATGCTTGTCTCAAAGATTAAGCCATGCATGTGTAAGTATGAACTAATTCAGACTATGAAACTGCGAATGGCTCATTAAATCAGTTATAGTTTGTTTGATGGTATCTACTACTCGGATAACCGTAGTAATTCTAGAGCTAATACATGCAACAAACCCCAACTTCTAGAAGGGATGCATTTATTAGATAAAAGGTCGATGCAGGATCTGTCTATTGCTTTGATGATTCATGATAACTCGTTGGATCGCACAACCCTTGTGCCGGCGACGCATCATTCAAATTTCTGCCCTATCAACTTTCGATGGTAGGTTAGTGGCCTACCACGTTGGTGACGGGTGATGGAGAATTAAGGTTCGATTCCAGAGAGGGAGCCTGAGAAACAGCTACCACATCCAAGGAAGGCAGTAGGCGTGCAAATTACCCAATTCTGACACGGGGAGGTAGTGGAAATAAATAACAATACCGGGCTCATTGAGTCTGGTAATTGGAATGAGTACAATTTAAATCCCTTAATGAGGATCCAATGGAGGGAAAGTTTGGTTCCAGCAGCCACAGTAATTCCAGCTCCAATAGCGTATATTTAAGTTGTTGTAGTTAAAAAGCTTGTAGTTGGACCTTGGGTTGGGTCGATCGGTCCGCCTCTAGTGTGCACCGGTCGGCTCATCCCTTCTGCTGGCGATGCGCTCCTAGCCTTAAATGGCCGAGTCGTGCCTCCGGTGTTGTTACTTTGAAGAAATTAGAGTGCTCAAAGCAAGTCTACACTCCGGATACATTAGCATGGGATAACACCACAGGATTCTGATCCTATTGTGTTGGCCTTCGGGATCAGAGTAATGATTAACAGGGACAGTCGAGGGCATTCATATTTCATAGTCAGAGGTGAAATTATTGGATTTATGAAAGATGAACAACTGCGAAAGAATTTGCCAAGGATGTTTTCATTAATCAAGAACGAAAGTTGGGGGACTTGAAGACGATCAGATACCATCCTAGTCTCTACCAAAAATGATGTCGACCAAGGATCAACAGATGTTGCTTTTAGGACTCTGCTAGCACCTTATGAGAAATCAAAGTCTTTGGGTTCCGGGGGAAGTATGGTCTCAAGGCTGAAACTTAAAGGAATTGACAGAAGGGCACCACCAAGAGTGGAGCCTGCGACTTAATTTGACTCAACACGGGGAAACTTACCAGGTCTAGACATAGTAAGGATTGACAGATTGAGAGCTCTTTCTTGATTCTATGAGTGGTGGTGCATGGCCGTTCTTAGTTGGTGGAGCGATTTGAAGGTAACGAACGAGACCTCAACGTGCTAAATAGCTATGTGAAGGTAACCTTCCACGACCAACTTCTTATAGGGACTATGGTCGTTTAGGCCATGGAAGTTTGAGGCAATAATAGGTCTATGATGCCCTTAGATGTTCTGGGCCGCACGCGCGCTATATTGATGTATTTAACAAGTTTATAACCTTGGCCGACAGGCCTGGGTAATCTTTGAAATTTCATCGTGATGGGGATAGATCATTGCAATTGTTGGTCTTCAACAAGGAATTCCTAGTAAGCGCGAGTCATCAGCTTGCGTTGACTATGTCCCTGCCCTTTGTACATATCGCCCGTCGCTCATACCGATTGAATGGTCCGGTGAAGTGTTTGGATTGCGGCGACGTGGGTGGTCAGCCGCTTGGGACATGGTGAGCAGTCCTTCAAAAATTATCATTTAGAGGAAGGAGAAGTCGTAACAAGGTTTTCGTAGGTGAACCTGCGGAAGGATCATTGTCGATGCCTCACAACCAATTCGACCGGCGAAAGTGTATGTTATCTTTTATACTTTGTTGCCTGTTGGGGGTGGTGTGGTCGTTGCCATGGCATCGATGTGCCCTCCCCGATGGACGAACACTAACTAACCCAAGGAATGTTAAACGCGGTTAGGTGTGACACTCGAGGGACGGTGTCGCGTGGGTTTCATCACGGTAGGACATGATAGCTCATGTATGCAAAATGACTCTCTGCAACGAATATCTTGGCTCTTACATCTATGAAGAATGTAGTTAAATGCGATACTTTGCATGAATTGCAGAATCCCGTGAACCATCAAGTCTTTGAATGCAAGTTGCGCCCGAAGCCATTAGGTTGAGGGAATGCCTGCCTGGGTGTCACACATCGTTACCCGTCCCACTCACTCGCTCATGTGGCGGTCGGGGTGGATGTTGATCTCCCACGAGATCGTTCTTGTGGTTGGCTGAAAATCTAGTCCACGGTCGAGTTTTCCATGATGAATGGTGGATGGGCGAGACATGCTCAAGACCGACGATCACGTATGCATGACTATGGACGCACAGTCAGACTACTTTACAAGATGACCCTCTGTGCACACATCGTATCACATCACATCACATCTCATGCTATGTGAGTTGTGGGTGGTGGGTCGGATGGTGCTCTTAACGAGACCTCAGGTCAGATGGTACCACCCGCTGAGTTTAAACATATCAATAAGTAGAGCAAAAGAAACTAACAAGGATCCCCTAGTAACGACAAGCGAACCAGGAATAGCCCACCATGAGAATCGGTCACCAACAACGACCAAATTGTAGTCTTGAGAAGCATCCTCAGTGGCAGACCAGGCCTAAGTCCCCTGGAAGGGGCACCAGAGAGGGTAAGACCCTCGTTGTGCCTGAACCTTGTTGCACGACGAGGCGCTATCGACAAGTCGGGTTGTTTGTGAATGCAGCCCCAATCGGATGGTAAATTCTGTCCAAGGCTAAATACTGGCGAGAGACCAATAGCGAACAAGTACCGCGAGGGAAAGATGAAAAGGACTTTGAAAAGAGAGTCAAAGAGTGCTTGAAATTTTCGGGAGGAAAGCGGATGGGGGTCGGCGATGTGTCCCGGTCGGATGTGGAACAGTGAGAGTTGGTCCGCTGATCGACTCATGGCACGGACCGACGCGGATAGCGGGGGTGGCCCAAGCCGGGGCTGTGGATATGCTCGCAAAAATGTCATCTCTGTGATTGTGGATGGCAGCGTATTCCCCTCGGGTGTGCCACGGCACGTGTGTGCTCCAGGCGTTGGCCTGCGGGCTCCCCATTCGACCTGTCATGGAACACGGACCAAGGAGTGTGACATGTGTCTGAGTCAACGGGTGAGTAAACCTATGAGGTGCAAGGAATCTAATTCATAGGATCCCCCTAGTGGGTTGCACCGCCGACCGACCCCGATCTTCTGTGAAGGGTTCAAGTGAGAGCATACCTGTCGGGACACCTAAAAGATGGTGAACTATGCCTGAGCAGGGCAAAGCCAGAGGAAACTCTGGTGGAGGCCCGCAGTGGTACTGACGTGCAAATCGTTCGTCTGACTTGGGTATAGGGGCGAAAGACTAATCAAACCATCTAGTAGTTGGTTCCCTCCGATGTTTCCCTCAACATAGCTGGAGCCTACGGGTGAGTTTTATTGGGTAAAGCCAATGATTAGAGGCATCAGGGGCGCAACGCCCTCGACCTATTCTCAAATTTCAAATAGGTAGGATGGCACGACTACTCTGTTGAGCTACGCCATAGAATCGAGAGCGCCAAATGGGCCATTTTTGGTAAGCAGAACTGGCGATGCGAGATGAACCAGAAGTCGGGTTACGGTACCGAACTGTGCGCTAACCTAGACCCCACAAAGGGTGTTGGTCGATTAAGACAGCAGGACGGTAGTCATGGAAGTCGAAATCTGCTAAGGAGTGTGTAACAACTCACCTGCCGAATCAACTAGCCCCAAAAAAGGATGGCACTGAAGTGCGCGACCTATACCTGGCCATTGGGGCAAGGGCCAGGCCCCAATGAGTAGGGGGCGCGGTAGTCGCTGCAAAACCTTGGGCGCGAGCCCGAGTGGAACGGTTTTCGGTGCAGATATTGGTGGTAGTAGCTAAAATTCAAATGAGAACTTTGAAGGCCGAAGAGGGGAAATGTTCCATGTGAACGACACTTGCACATGGGTTAGTTGATCCTAAGGGACGGGGAAAGCCTGTCTGATAGCACTGCGAGCGCATACTCCAAAAGTGAATCAGGTTAAAATTCCTGAACCGGGACGTGGCGGCTGACGACAATGTTAGGGAGTCTAGATATGTCGGCGGGGCCCCTGGGAAGAGTTATCTTTACTGTTTAACAGCCTACCCACCCTGGAAATGACTCAGTCGGAGGTAGGGTGCAGTGGCTTGAAGAGCACCGCACGTCGCATGGTGTCCAGTGCACCCCAGGCGACCCTTGAAAATCCGTAGGACCGAGTGCCTCCCACACCGGTCGTACTCATATCCGCATCAGGTCTCCAAGGTGAACAACCTCTGGTCGATGGAACAATGTAGGCAAGGGAAGTCAGCAAATGGATTTGTAACCACGAGAAAAGGATTGGCTCTGAGGGTTGGGCACGGGGGTCCCAGTCCCAAGCCTGTCGGCTGTCGGTGGACTACTCGAGCTGCTCGCACAGTGAGAACGGGTCATCGTGTGCCGGTCGGGGGACGGATTGGGAACGGGCCCTTCGGGGCCTCTTCCCCGAGCGTCGAATATTCGACTCATAACTGGTACGGACAAGGGGAATCCGACTTTTTAATTAAAACAAAGCATTGCGATGGTCCCTGCGGATGTTGACGCAATGTGATTTTTGCCCAGTGCTCTGAATGTCAAAGTGAAGAAATTCAACCAAGCGTGAGTAAATGGTGGGAGTAACTATGACTCTCTTAAGGTAGTCAAATGCCTCGTCATGTAATTAGTGATTCCCACACACCCTATCTACTATCCAGCGAAACCACAACCATGGGAACAGGCTTGGCGGAATCAGTAAGGAAAGAAGACCCTGTTGAGCTTGACTCTAGTTCGACTTTGTGAAATGACTTGAGAGGTGTAGGATAAGTGGGAGCTGGAAATAGCGAAAGTGAAATACCACTACTTTTAACGTTATTTTTCCTATTTCGTGAATCGGAGGCGGGGCGATGCCCCTGTTTTTGGACCGAAGATCGGCTATGGCTGGGCGATTCGGGCGGAAGATATTGTCAGGTGGGGAGTTTGGCTGGGGCGACATATCTTGTTAGAAAATGAGGCTGAGATCAAGAGGGGGGGTGAATTGATATTCGAAAGATTTTCGCAAATTACAGATTATCTATTTCAAAGATTAAGAATTCTGACCGATTCTTGAATCAAACAAAGCAAACAAACAAAGAAAAGACAGTGGCGAAATTAAAGAGAGAAAGGTTTAGAAACATACAACCAAGATTTATACTGGTTCACCCAATTCTAGGGCTATGTCCAGTTTCCAACCAAATTCCAGCTAGGTTCCACTAGATTGAATGTTTTACAGATTACAATTCCAATCACACACCCAATCTACCACAAGAACCAAAATTCCAGTCCTTGCACGTAAACCTTCACCAAGAACCAACTTCCAGTTCTTGACCAACCCTGCAGCCAAATTCCAGCCACAGAAACCAGTGCCCACACTTCCAGACACCCACAATACAGTAAAGAAAAGTAAAGAAACAAAGAGAAGAAATTAGAACACTCAAACAACGTTTATGCAGTTCTCCAGAATGAGTTTCTTCACAAAAAGAATGCAATCACAAAACGTGCGTGATTCTCTCTTGAAAGTAGCACTTATGATTGCTTGATTGATTGCTCAAAGGTGTGTTTTCAAAGACTCAAGCAATCCTGATTTTATAGAGGATTTTTCATACTGCTGGTTTAATCAAAATGTTAAAACAATCTTTTAATCTGTTAAAAGTCTTGAGTTAATCTGTTAAAACTTCTTTTAATCAATTAAAATGTTCTTGATCATTTTCCAGATTTGTTTTAACTGATACGACAATGTTTATATCAATTAAAACACTTTATAAAAAATCCTTCAAATTATTTTAATCTATTATTTCGCCTTTTAATCGATTAAAATATCTGCCAAAAGTTTTCATAAAACTTTCTAAGTAATTTTAACTGATAACAATCTATTTTAATCGATTAAAATACTTTGGAAAAAATCTCTTAGTTATTTCAATCGATTATTTCGTATTTTAATCGATTAGAATTCTACCAAAAAGTTTCCTAAAACTTCCTAAGTTATTTTAACTAATAACATACTTGTTTTAATCAATTAAAACATTTTGGAAAAAATCTCTTAGTTGTTTTAATCGATTATTTCGCATTTGTATCGATTAAAATACTGACAGAACATCTTTCAAAATACTTCAAGTTATTTTAATCGATTATTTCGAGTTTGTATCGATTAAAATTCTGCCAGAACACTTTTCAAAACAACTTAAGTCATTTTAATCAATTATTTCAATTCTACATCGGTTAAAATACTGCGTGAAGGTTTTCAAAAACTCTTCTAATGAAAACAATCGATTATTTCAAAAACATATCGGTTAAAAACCTGTTACAAAAGTGTTAAGAACATTTTAACTGATAAAACTCATATAATATCAGTTAAAACAGTTACTTAAAAACCATTTAACAAAATACTTTGTTTTTAATAGTTTAAAAACGTTTTAGAGGCATTTGCAAAATCTTTTAAATGAAGAAACCTCATGCAGCAGAGAGATAAGAATGATTATACCTAAGTAAAGATGCAACCTCACTAATCACTCAACCCTTTTATCTAAGTGATCTTTGATTGCAACAGAATAGCCTTTGACTTCATTTTGACTTCATCAAATCAACAAGATCTTTGTTAAAAATGATTCAATAAGATCTTCATCACTTTCATATCTATTAAAAGATAATGCAGGTGTCTTAAGATGAGGTCAACGAGAACAAAAATCTCGTCGGGAACAAAAGGGTAAAAGCTCATTTGATTCTGATTTTCAGTATGAATACGAACCGTGAAAGTGTGGCCTATCAATCCTTTAGTCCTTCAGAATTTAAAGCTAGAGGTGTCAAAAAAGTTACCACAGGGATAACTGGCTTGTGGCAGCCAAGCATTCATAGCGACGTTGCTTTTTTATCCTTCGATGTCGGCTCTTCCTATCATTGTGAAGCAGAATTCACCAAGTGTTGGATTGTTCACCCACCAATAGGGAACATGAGCTAGGTTTAGACAATCGTGAGACAGGTTAGTTTTACCCTACTAATGAAAGTGTTGCAATAGTAATTCAACCTAGTACGAGAGGAACCGTTGATTCGCACAATTGGTCATCACGCTTGGTTCAAAAGACAATGGTGCGAAGCTACCATGCGTTGGATTATGAGTGAACGCCTCTAAGTCAGAATTTGAGCTAGAAGCGACGCGTGCGCCCGCCATTCGCTTACCAACCAATAGTAGGGGGCCTCGGCCCCCTAGAGGCACGTGCCATGGGTGACCCTTGTGAGGCAAATTAGGCTTGTGGGACGCCTTGAAGCGCAATTTCCTTTGGATGGTGCAATTTACATGGTCAACATATCTACCTGTGTCACGGAGGCGAGAAACTCCATTGTGGCCTCTCGAAAAATGTGGGCAGGAGGAGCTCCTACCCGATGCTGTGGATGTAATTCCTTACATCCTCATCCCAACCGAACATGGTTAGGATGATGAAATCTAGTTGAAGCATGGGATGCCAGGCGTAGCTCCAGATGTTGTCGAGCCTGGCCTAGTGCTGAGGCATGAGCTGAGTAGGATTTGGTGGTGCTTATGGAGCCGAAGCACCCTGGATGGGTCCCCGACCACGCTTTCTAGGTCTGGAAGATTCTCCTTGATGCATTATTCCTCAAACACACTCAGATATGCAAGATAAGGTATGGGATGAAGAGAGAATGCAGGAATGGGATGCGTTGGAACTGCCCCGAACGCGGCTATATATAGGCAAAATTTTAAAGGTCGAGACGGTCGCCCGGGATTTGGGATGGTCGTCTCGCTCTAATGACAATCTGGGATATCGAGATGGCCATCTTACCATTCGTGAATGGCGATACGACCGTCTGGAAAATCGAGACTGCCATCTCGCCAAACGAGACGGTCATCTCGCCAAACTAGACGATCATCTAGGTTTTCGGGGGGTTTTTTTTTTAAAGAAAAGATAGGACCTTGTTCATCAACATCTATGCATGTAGTGCTCATGATATGAGTCCTATAATACTATCTCAGTTAATATTTTCAGAAGGATTAATTGATGTGTTTTTTGACAATAAGGCTCTTCAGATGCCATGTTTAGCTGTACCATTTTTGCCGTTCCAGATTCAGCATGACCGAAGAATGATTAAATTGAAGAGTTATTTGTCATGTTAGTGTGCTTTCTTCCTTTCTTTAGGAATTTCAATCCTCCTATTGATCACTATTTTTCATATTACCCAGTTAATCACTACAATATCGTAGTGATAAGGGTCAAGAGAAAAGAAGGAAGAGGACAATTAATTGAAAGGTTTGTGTTTTAGAAAGAATTTTTATTTTTGAAAAAATGGTCTTTGTGAGAATGGATAGCCATTGTAGGTTGAACAGTTTAGGCTTAGTTTAAACAAACATGTAGACCCCAAATCTTGCCTGACCTTAAAATAAAGAGCAGAAGACCTCCCATTTGAAGATGGACAAAGCCTAAAAAGCCACTAGGAGAGACTATTAGGCTCCATATTAGAGTAGGAAGACTTTTCTGTACCAAAAATAAAGGATTCCCACCTTAGGGGTCGAGACCGCTGTCTCGCTTTTCGAGACCACCGTCTCGCCAAATAGCAAAGTTGAGATCGCCATCTCATTTGGCGAGACGACTGTCTCGCCACTTGCTATGGCAACACCGCTTTCCCATTTGGCGAGACGACCCTCTTGTCATTTGGCAAGTCGATACCGCCGTCTCGCCAAACAAGATGGCGGTCTCACCATTTGTCAAAATTGAGACCGTTGTCTCGACCTTGCCAGGCAAGACGGCGATCTCGAACTTGCCAGGCGAGACAGCGATCTCAACCTGACTGGCGCAAATCCCTATAAATAGGGGGCGCTCTCCCTTTCATTTCACACAGCTCTTTCATTCTTCCTTCTACAATTTCCTAGAATTATTCTTTTAGAGCCCCTCCGAAGTATTTCCGGAGTTTCTGAGTGTTTTAAGAGAGTTTTTTTTAGCGAAAGAGCGGCATTATAGAGTGAAGGGTTGTCAAAACGCACCCTATTTTTCAAGAAAATTAATCAAAGATTGCTCCAGAGGTTTCTTCACTCTCTCCCTCTCTTTTATTGTCCTTCTCTACTTACATTAAATTATACAATAGCTACTAGGGCCATGTAGTCATTATTTTTTTAATTCTGCACATAAAAGGGTAAAAGCGTCATTTCAAAAGTTTATTTATAAAATAACTGGCCCATTATAGAGAACCTGAAAGGGGCGTCGTAAGGGGAGCTAATACCTCCCTTACACGTAACTAACTCCCTTACCCAACTCTGGTTTTAACGACCAAAGTTGGTTTTTCTTAAAAAAACCAACGGCTTTTTCTTTCCTTTTTCGATGTTTTTTGTAAAAACATTGGTGGCAACTCCATAAGAACCCTCTCAATCTTGCTCTTAGGTCAGCCTAGTTATCGGACGATCTAAAAGATCTCTTTTGAAAACCTCTCCCTTAGGTTCAGCCCGGTTATCAGACAACCTAAAGGTGTTGTAACTCCACCCATATTAAAATGCGAAAAACGAGAAGTCAAAACCATCGCGTCGCTCTGACCGCCTCTTTTGATGGCGACAATAGATGGCGACTCCATTGGGGAAGCCTAGAGAGTTGATCCCATTTAGTGATGGGTCAGTTTAATAAATAAACTAAGAAATTACGCTTTTACATGCTTTACTTGCTTGACTTTAATAACTGTTGTTTGTTTATTTTACGCAATTGTTTGAAATAAAAACTGTACACAAACCTTTGCACACAACAGTTCCCTCTATACCCCGGGCAAGTGAGAAATCCATAGGGAGTGGGTGCCAGGTACGGTTTGTCGTAGTGAGGGTCATGTGCCCACCGGTATGATCGGAAACCACCACTCAAGGTGATAACCTTCCTCTTTTGGCACAAAGACTGACTATGGCCTTCGTGCTAAGCATGGTCGGAAGGCTGGAGAGTGGGGACCCTATACTGGGGGCACCTTGGGGGCCTAAGCCTTGGTGAGAATAGTTAGAACCTACCCTTGTCAATGCACTTTTCTGCAGGAAAACCCTACCTCGTGATTAAAAATGACTTCTCGCCTGATCGCGGATGAGTGAATTGTATGTGCATTTGTTTGTTGCATTTGATTGCATAGCATAACCAAACAACAGAAAAATCACAAAAGAAAAATATCTTTTATAATAAACGCCCTTATCTCGGACAGTCTGCCTTTTAGCTAGCCTGGTTTCAGGTTCTTTGTAAGCTAAGTAGCCATGCAGTCCGACAGAAGAGATAGGGGATGCTAACATTATTCTTTCATAATAAACCATTTGATCTCGGACAGTCTGCCTTTTAGCTAGCCCGGTTTCAGGTTCTTTGTAAGCTAAGTAGCCACGCAGTCCGACAGAAGAGATAAAAGGCTCTAAAACAAAATAAAATCAAATAAAGACCCAAATCAAATAAATGGGACCTTGTTCATAAACATTTAATTCATAAATCATCCATATAGGTAGTTTATTTTTGAAAATAAACACGCGAATACTATCATACATCATGTAGAAATAAAACATGATAAACATTTAGGTAAAAACAAACACTCGCATGCATACCCACAATAAACATCATGTTCATAAACATGCATTTTGGTTTTTAGAAAATGGAGGGGACTAGTAGATAATTGAAGAAAGTTGACATTCCCCGGTACCATACTGAGAAGCTAGAACGGCTTTGCACGATAATGCCACCAAAGGTTCGCTCCGACTCTGAAAAATCCTATGGACGGATTCTCGACCTGTTGAAGATCTATGTCGATCCCATTCTTATCAGGGTTCTAGTTCATTTTCGGAACTCTAGTCTGCACTGCTTCAAATTCTTGTAGTTCAATATGGTGCCTACTTTGGAGGAGTATGAGATTATGCTAAAATGGTCCAAATCAGCCGGGGTCCATATTCTCCATGGGGCATATACTTCTATAGCACAAGTCGCTGCCATCATCCGTCTACCATTCCGGAAAACTACCCTGATAGAGAAAGGGAATATCCAAGGTTGGAAAGTCTCAATGTTAGAAGACCATCTGTCCTCTTTGGCTGAAAGGGCAGAATGGGCTGCTTTTAACAAAACCCTGGCTTTAATCATATTTGGAACAATCTTGTTTCCCTTCCATATCGACACAGTAGACCAAGCCGTCATGGACGCCTTCTTCGCCTGGGACGTGAACTCGAAGAGTCCCCTGCCTGCACTTCTAGCCGACACCTTGCTCTCGGTGGAATTTTGTCACCAGAAGCAAGGAAAAACACTCTGATGTTGCTCTTCACTACTATTCGTATGGAGTATCACGTATTTCTACGCCTCTAGTCACATGGGGATGTTCCTCGACCCCTTGAGAAGCTTCTCCAAGATCCCTCTCCACCGACGCCTGACCTTAGAGTGGAAGGTCGAGTTGGATTAATGGGACGCCAACCGATTATCTTGGGTTTGCCCTTGGTTCCGACCCGTCCCAGCCCTCATCAGATGTGGGGACTATCCGAGCATACCGTTGATAGGACTCAGGGGTTGCATAGCCTATTCGCCGAGAGTAGCTATGAGAGAACTCTTGAGGACCCAAACTGCAATATCCCGAGAGGAGCTCAAAGGACTGTGTTTCTTCGGAGACCCATGCACGATTGCTAACTCACTGGTTGTACGAAGAGCATGGGAGAAACCAGTCTTTATGGGAGATAGAGATCTAGGAAAAGCTCGAATAGGTGTCTCCAGTGACTATGAGGAATGGAGACGAAAAAGAGGGATGTCGAAACCATCCACCTCACTTGCTACACGTTCAAACAGTGAAGAGCTGCAAACCCAAGTCGATGCCTTGACCCCGTGGTTAGAAATCATGGGAGCCCAGATGAGGGCCCTTGAAGAAAGAGAGCAAGAATCTATCCTCACCATAGATGGTCTACAGAGGCAATGAAAGAAAAAGGATCATGAAATAGAGCGCCTCAAGGACCAGTGTGCTGATTCTAATGAGCAAGCTATCCAAGCATCCAAAGCTGCGAGAACCAGCTCGGATAGTCAACTTCAAGAAATAGCCGCCAAATCAGCACGCCTTGAGGCCGAATCCGCAAAACAAGATCAAACGATCAAGGAGTTATTACAAGACCTTACAAGGACTCGGTCTGAAATACGCCAAGAGCGAGAGGCCAACCAGAGGCTTAACAGAAGTCTCACTGAGCTACGCTGCAAAGAAAGAGATGGACTAGCTCAGTATGGTCAAGTACTACAAGAAAAGGACCGAGCCCTTGCAAAACTCGACGA